GTGATGTAATCTCTTTTATTGGACCAGCTTCTATTGATTATAGACACAAGCTTTTGAATTACAACAAAGCTCTTCCCTTAGACATGGGAGAGCTTGGGGTAACTCTCACAAGCTTGTCTCCCCAACAGAAGTTGGTCCAGTAAGAAACATTACCTCAACCACCTTGTCTCTCTAATGTTTGGAAATAGAAAATATATGCTTAATAAACTTACTGCATGTATTTGTTCTGCATATGAAATAGTACAGTACTTACTGGTATCCAAAAGAGTTTGGGGAAGATCTGGTTGGTTAGTGGCAATACTAGAGGGCTTTAAACTGACAATTAACCATAAATAATACTAACTCTTCCTTATAAAAATTATAGCTTCAGAATGGATTATAGTCAGTCAACTTGAAAATTAATCAGGTTTTAAAATCTCCAGTTCAAAATTTCAACCACTGTGCCATCTTTGACAAAGCAGATAAAAATGTACTCAAAAGCATGATTAAAGAATGCTTCTTTTAATTTTCATTTAGGATTTTATCTTCTGTTGTGGCATGGTATCTTCATTCACCTTAAATAATAAATTCAACCCTATGCAGTAACATTTTACAGCTAATGAAAAACATTTTCTGCTACATAGGACAGCACCATAATATGCATCACATTATGTAAGTGGTAACAAGCTGTAAAATGTAAAGCTTGTACATGGAAATCCACCTAACTTAATGCCTTACATTAACTTTAGAAATACGACATTTCTGAAGTGGATTGTTTTTCTTTTACATTTTTTAAAAGGCCAAACTTGGCAACTACTGGGAACCTACACTGTATACAGTATATTTCTTGGCCAGTTGTATTTTGCCCTTTAACCCATTTTACAAATGAATTCTCTCTGCTGAGTAACTTTTTCTATTGTTCCCCAATTATATGAAATTTAAATCTGACCGAACTTACTTAGGCTAAAATCTGTGACTTTCTTCAAAGGTATCAAGCTTCATCAAAGAGCAGGCCCAGGAACAGTGTCAGATGATCGTTATTTCTCTAAAGGAGGAGTTTTATTCCAGAGCAGATGCATTAATTGGCGTCTGTCCAGAGGTACAAATCTTATTTTTGTTGTCATTTCATTCAAATTAATTACATATTAAAATTAAACAGTTTTAAAAATTCCAGCTACAGCCAATTATATCTTTAAAAGTGACCCCCTGCCCTTAATAATCCTTTTTTAAAAGTCTCACTAGAGCTGGGTGGTTCAAATGCAGTTTGCTATTTAGAAGCACTCGTTGGAAGTGTTTAATAAGCATTGCAGAAAAACCTATGTATTAAGTAGTCATTTTGGTGACTGCATCATCTTATCAGTAATGCTTATTTTTAATGTATATGATTGT